TTGCTTGCTCGACTGCCACGAGATAGGGCCGATAGGTTCGAGTCGGTAGATGTAGCCGGTGCGCGATCGCCTGTTGTCTGGGTCGCCGGCGTGGTCAACATCCACATAACCGATTAGCTTGGGCGTCGTAGTTCCGGTCTTGTGATAGGTTAGGCTGATCGTCGGGGTGCTTACGAGGTAGTGAAGTGCACGGTTGAGCTCCGCCATGTGATCTGCTTCAGGCTTCTTGAGATGGGTGGCGAGTTGACTAGCTGAGTAAGATAGGTCCAGTCGGCAGGTAATGGCTGCGAAGAGTAGACAACCTAGCTTTCGTTGGTAGTCGCGAATGCCGGCGGGTTTAAGTAGGGTGGAGGCTTCCTTGCGATTTCCGTCGGTGTAACGATATGGTGTGGTGATGGTAGCTGGAGTTAGTCCGAAGCGTTTGGCGATGGTGTCGGCATATTTTGCGGCGCTGAGGTAGATTGCGTTTTCCCCGTCTTGTATGTTGAGTCCCAAGTACTGTGTCACGGTAGACGAGACGGCGAGCGTGAGGTCCCGCTGTAGCTCCCCTTCAAACCAAGTTGTTATGCCGTCAATGGAGCCTATGTAGAGTAGGTCGTCTATGTAGACGATGAGCAGGATGTAGTCGGTCCCTTTAGTGAGTCGGTACATTCCTTGGTCATGCGGTAGTTGGCAGAATCCGATGTGGATAAGTCGGGCGTGAAGGTACTGCTGCCACAATCTCGGGGCTTGCTTGATACCGTACAGTGATTTTTGCAGCTGACAGACTTGATTGGGGTCTGCGTTAGATCCGAGTGGTTGTTCGACAAAAATCTCAGCGTCGACGGGAGCATACAGAAAGGCGTTGGTGACGTCGATTTATCGCGAGGAGAATCCGCAGTGAGGTGTGTCGGCTAACTGGCGCGAAGGTTTCGGTGAAGTCTCGTCCGTGCTCTTGATCGAAGCCGCGTACGACCCAGCGCGCCTTAAACTTATCGATCGTTCGATCAGCTTTTGTCTTCACGCGGAAGACCCATTTTCCCGTGAGAACAGTTTTGTTGCGTGCCACTCCAATAGGCACTATTTTCCAGGTGTTTCTGTCTTCTAACGCCTTCAGTTCCCTGTCCATGGCTTCGTGCCATTTTTCCTTGTGCTCCCCCCGCAGAGCCTGCTGAACCGTGGCAGGCTCCTTCGGTGGCGCTGCTCCGTGGACGACGGTGACGAGTCCCAGTATCTGCAGCCCACTCTGTGTGTAGCGGGGGAGATTTGCGTCCTCGGGATAAGCTGCTTCATCTCCCGCTTCTGGATCAGATAAGAAGTTGGGCCCTATGCGTTCGGAGACGTTGGTGTCGACCAGTTGGGGTGTAACGTAACCGTTGTTGGCAAAGTCGTAGTAGACTTTGGCGTTGACAATTTCGCGAGGGTTGTCGTCGTCCATGGGAATGTCCACTGAGCAGTACGGAAGAGGTCCGGCTTCCTCCGAAGCTCCGTCCACGTTCTGCTCGTCCCACTCAGCTTCATCTGCTGCCAAAGCAAAGGCTCGGTCCCCACGCAAACCGCCCGTGACATCTCGTTCTGCTTCCAGGTTGTCCACGTACGTCTGAAGTGTGAGTTGCTCGTAGAAAATGACATCACGTGCTGCTACTGTTTCCTTTGTGTGGACGTAAAAAATCTTCCATGCGTTGTAGTGTTTTTCGATGCCCAGGTGTAGTCCCCACTGTGCGCGTTGGGAGAATCGGCCGGCTGCAGCTGGGGGTCGGTATTGTACCATGCAGCCGGATACTCGTAACATTTTTGTGCTGCCCAATTTTCCTGTCCACAGCAGATGCGGTGATGCGTTGTTCGGGAGCGATGATGACGAGAGCAAGTTGTGTAGCATGACAGCGTGGTCCATCGCCTCGGGCCATTGGTGGTTGGGCAGTCGCATGCTGCGTAGGAGTTTGCGCATGGTGTTCTGGAGGGTCCTGTTCATTCTTTCTGCCACGCCTTGTTGTTGATGGGCGTAGAGGAGTGAGATGAGTCGCTTGATGCCTCTCGCTGCCAGGTATTGCGTGAATCGCAGTGACTGGTATTCTCCTCCTCCGTCTGACTGGAAGCTTTTCAGTTTCACTCCAGATTCCCGTTCTGCTACTGGAAGCCAGGTGACGAAGGCTTGGAAAGCCATGTTGCGGCTCGGAAGGTTGAGGTGCCAGACGTATCGGGTGGCGGCGTCGATGAACGTGATAACGTAGTTGTAGGCTCCTTGTCCACTTTCGCGGTTGAACAATATGTCGCTGTAAACCTTCTCCAGTGGTGTGTATGCAGGTGAGCTCGGGTTGTGGTGAGAGACGAATGGCTGATGGAGTAAGTCGGCTTCGCGGCAGGCAAAACATGTTCCGCGAACTCGCTGGAGTTCCTTGCCGTCATGTAGTAGCAGTGAGTCCTTGTCGAGTACTCCAGCTCTTATCATGTTGTTTAACGCTGTGTTGCTCAGGTGTCCCATCCTTGCGTGCCAGATTGATTCGCTAGCGCGATGTCCGGGTGCTCAGGTCAGAGTTAGAGTAAAATCCCGCGGTGAGGTTGTCGCTTCTGTGAACTTTGCGTGGAGTGGGAGTCAACTGCTGCGCAGGAGTCGATGGAGTATCGTCAATGAGAGCTGGTGCCGTTGAAGGACCCGCGATTTGTGTTGTAGTCGGTGTTGCCTCTGCTGCTGCCGATGTTGTCTCTGCTGTTACTGATGTTTGTTGGATTGTCACTAACACTCTCGTTCGTTCTGCTTCAGGTATAGTGTGTGAGTACCAGAATCCTTCAAGACTAAAGTCGGGGTCGAGATCTGGCGGGTGTGTCCAGGAGGTGAAGTTGACGATGGCGTCACTATCGGCGGTGCCTTGGTCTGGAACGAAGTTAAGAACGAAGACATTGTTCTTCAAGACTGCTTTGCCGATGTAGAGTCCACCCTTCCCGTGGTACAACTTGAACTCCTGGGTGGTGCTGTCTGCTTCGAGATGGATTCCCTTCGCCATTAGTTGACTGACGCTGAGTAAATTATAGCCAAGTCCTTCTGCGATGAAAACCTTTGACATTTGCGGAATAACGTTGGTTTCTCGAGACTGAAGTTGAACTATCCCTTGTCGTCGTGTGCGCAGGTTCTGGTTGTTGGCGACGGTGATTACGACTTCGCGCTGAAGTTGATGTTCCCGTTGAACGAAGCGACCCGATAAGCATATGTGTTGTCCGCAGCAGCTGTCCAAGAACCAGGTGTCTTTCCCGGATGGCTCGCTCTGGGCGATGGCTGCGTACGTCGGATTGAGCTCCAATGATTCACGGCGAGGGGTGCTTTGGTCGAGTTGTTTTTCTTGTGAGTAGTATGGTGGCGATTCGGTGATGCATGAGTCTGTCAGAACATTATAGCTTATACATTTGTGTAGGCTGTAGTGGGGTAGCCCATAAGGGGTACAACCCAATTAGGGTTAGTACTTGTACCCAACTCTTTGCTAGTTCATTCATTCTCGTTCACAACATTCTAACATGGTTTCAGAGCAGGTCCCCTAGGACCGGTCTGTTTTTGGGCCCACCACCTACTGCCCTGCTAGCCTAGGCCCGCGTCGCCTAGCCCCACCCCCCCGTCGCCCCTAGCCGCGACCCCGTCGACCCCGTCGCCCCTAGCTCGGCCCCTCGGCCCCGTTGGCCCCGTCGCCCCTAGCCGCGCCCCTCGGCCCCGTTGGTCCCGTCGACCCCGTCGCCCCTAGCTCGGCCCCTCGGCCCCGTTGGCCCCGTCGACCCCGTCGCCCCTAGCCGCGCCCCTCGGCCCCGTTGGCCCCGTCGACCCCGTCGCCCCTAGCTCGGCCCCTCGGCCCCGTTGGCCCCGTCGACCTTGTCGCCCCTAGCTGCGCCCCTCGGCCCCGTTGGCCCCGTCGCCCCTAGCGTCGGCCCCGTCGCCCCTAGCTCGGCCCCTCGGCCCCGTCGCCTCGGCCCCTTGGCCCCGTCGACCCCGTAGCCCCTAACCGCGCCCCTCGGCCCCGTTGGCCCCGTTGACCCCGTCGCCCCTAGCTCGGCCCCTCGGCCCTGTTGGCCCCGTCGACCCCGTCGCCCCTAGCCGCGCCCCTCGGCCCCGTCGGCCCCGTCACCCCTAGCTCAGCCCCTCGGCCCCGTCGCCTCGGCCCCTTGGCCCCGTTGACCCCGTTGCCCCTAGCTCGCCCCCCCCCCTCGTCGCCCCTAGCCGCGACCCCGTCGACCCAGCCGCCCCTAGCTCGGCCCCTCGGCCCCGTTGGCCCCGTCGACCTCGTCGCCCCTAGCCGCGCCCCTCGGCCCTGTTGGCCCCGTCGACCCCGTCGCCCCTAGCCGCGCCCCTCGGCCCCTAGGCCCCGTCGCCCCTAGCGTCGGCCCCGTCGCCCCTAGCTCGGTCCCCCCCCCATCGGCCCCGTCACCTCGGCCCGTCGGCCCCGTCGCCCCTACCTCGGCCCGTAGGCCCCTTTGGCCCCTCGGCCTCGTGCTTGGCCCCTCGGCCCCGCCCCTCGGCCCCTCGGCCCCTAGGCCCCTTGGCCCCTCGGCCCCTAGTCCTCTCGGCCCCTCGGCCCCTAGGACCCTCGGCCCCTCGGCCCCTCGGCCCCGCCACCCTCATGTTTGGCCCCTTGGCCCCTAAGCCCCTCGGCCCCGCCACCCTCATGTTTGGCCCCTCGGCCCCTAAGCCCCTCGGCCCCTAGCCTCGGCCCCTTGGCCCCTTGGCCCCCAGGCACCTCGGCCCCTTGGCACCTCGGCCCTGTGGCCCCTCCTGTTCGGCCCCTCGGCCCTCACCCTCGTGTTTGGCCCCTCGGCCCCTAGGCCCCTTGGCCCCTCGACCTCGTGTTTGGCCCCTCGACCCCTAGTCCCCTCGGCCCCTCGGCCCCTAGGACCCTTGGCCCCTCGGCCCCTCGGCCCCGCCACCCTCGTGTTTGGCCCCTCGGCCCCTAGGCCCCTCGGCCCCACCCCTTGGCCCCTTGGCTACTGCTGCTGCTGCTCCTGCTGCTACTGCTGCTACTGCTACTCCTGAGTGCTGCGCCACTATGGCTTCGCTTAGAGTTCTAGCGTTCGATCATGAGGGCAGACCGGTTACATTTGACACGTGGCACGATGATCTGCAACTGTACCTTCTGAGCGATATTAAGGACAGTGTCTCACTGTTTGACCATGTGTCCGGTGTCGCTCCAGCCCCTCCCGCCACAGCTGACGGTGGGACTCGTTCCCAGTGGCTGTCTCGTGACGCTACTGCTCGCTTAGCCATTCGCAACCACCTGCCGGTGGCTGAATGTACTCACTTTGGACAGCACAGGACAACACAGGCCCTGTACGACGCTGTCGTTGCTCGCTACTCCTCCCCTGCCACTGCTGCTCTAGGCTGACTGCTACTGCCCTACCTGTTCCCTGAGCTGTCGGCTTTTGCCACCGTAGCGAACCTGGTTACCCACCTGCGCACTAGCGACGCTCGCTACTGCGCTATTGTCCCTGTTGAGTTCCTTGCCACGAACCAGCCCTTCATGTTCATCACCCTCTACTTCATAGTCTCTCGCCTCCCTGACTCTCTTCGCTCTGTCAGGGACCACTTTCTCTCCCTTGACCCCACCTCCCTCACTGTTGACCTCCTCGAGCAGCATCTCCTCGCAGCTGAGACTAGTGCAGTTGCTGTAGGTGCTGCTCGTGGCACTCCGCGCCCGCCCTTCTTTGAGGGGTGCTCCCCCTCCCCCCTTTCCCCCTCCTTCGCCTCTGCTGCTGCTGCAGACGTCTCTGTTACTGAGGACGTTGGTGCTGCTTCGACTAGTGCGAAGCGCCGCAGCAGCAAGGGAAAGGGTGGCCGGGGTGGTGGAGGTGGCAGCGGTGGTGATGGAGGTGGCAGTGGGAGCGGTGGTGGGGGCAGCGGTGGAGTTGGTGGGGGCAGCGGTGGAGTTGGTGGGGGCAGCGGTGGAGTTGGTGGAGGCAGTGGAGGTGGTGGCGGCGGTGGGACTGGTGGCGGCAGTGGGGGCTCTGGTGGCGGCGGTGGAAGCAGCGGAGGGAGTGGCGGCACTGGAGGCGGTGGGACTGGTGGTGGCAGGTCTGGACCTCGGCGTGGAGGCCCTGGTGGTGGTCAGCGACAGCAGCAGCAGCGTCGGAGCGAGACCCAGTCGCCCCAGCAGCTCCGTGAGTGGTTGGTTCAGCGTGAGACGGGTGGGTGCAGTGAGACCTGCCCGTATGTCATTCGTACGGGTGTCCGTGCGGGCCAGACATGCGCGAAGTTTCACACTGAGCACCGCTGCTTCTCCCGCCTTGACGATGCCTGGCGTGCTGAGTTTGGTGACGACGTCGAGCGCCCTCACTGGACGGATTTGCTTAGGTCGGGAGTTGCTATCTTTGACCTAGACTATGATGCTATTCTCTCTGCCATGTATGCTTTGTCTTTTAGTGCTGAGGGTGACTATTACCGGTGTGTGCCACCTGACCCAGGTATAGCGGCTGCTGCTCTAGGTGCTAGTGCGTCTGGTACTCCCCCTGGTACTGCGCCTGCTGAGGCCTTGCACACCTTCACGTTGGACTCCGGCGCCTCGCGCTGTTTCTTTCGTGACAGCACCACTCTCACTCCTCTCCCTACACCTGTCCCGGTCAGACTGGCTGACCCCTCTGGGGGCCCGGTCGTTGCCCGTTCCTCCACTGTCCTCCCGTGTCCGGCGGTTCCGTCCGGCTCACTGTCAGGTCTTCACCTCCCCTCGTTCTCTACGAACTTGGTGAGTACCGCTGCCCTTCAGGATGCGATGGTCACTACCACCACTCCTGGGGGTCAGCGTGTGTCGATCTGCACGTGCACACGGACGGGGCGTCACCTGGCTACGTTCACTCGTCGGCCAGGGTCGAGTCTGTACACGCTGGCTACCGAGCCTCCTCAGGTCGCTGCGTCTGCTCAGGTGTCCGCGTCAGGTCAGGTAGCCGCCTCTTGCTCGTGTCGCCTCCTGTCGCACCAGACTCTTCTGAGGCACCACCGCCTGGGTCACCCCTCCCTGCCACGCCTTCGTGGCATGCACTCCCGGTTTCTCGTCTCTGGTCTACCCAGGACTCTGCCTCCCCTCCCGCCCTCGCCTGCCCCGCTCTGCCTTCCTTACGACGAGGGGCGGCAGCGCGCCGCTCCTCACTCCTCCTCGTTTCCCCTGACGACTGATCCCCTGCAGACTCTCCACATCGATGTGTGGGGCCCTGCGCGCGTCAGTGGACAGGGCCGCGAGCGCTACTTTCTGCTGGTTGTTGACGACTACACGCGGTACACCATGGTCTTCCCCTTGCGCAGCAAGGGTGAGGTCGTTGATGTCTTGATGCCTTGGATCCACAGAGTCCGTCTCCAGCTCCGCGAGCGCTTTGGTACGCACCTTCCTGTCCTACGTCTGCACTCTGACAGAGGTGGTGAGTTCTCCTCCGACATCTTGCGGGACTTTTGTCATGGGGAGGGCATTCTCCAGTCGTTCACGTTTCCGGCCTCCCCTCAGCAAAATGAGATTGCTGAGCGCCGCATTGGCTTAGTCATGGAGGTCGCTCGTACCTCCATGATCCATGCGGCCGCTCCCCATTTTCTGTGGCCGTTTGCGGTCCGATACGCTGCGCATCAGCTCAACCTCTGGCCCCGTGTCTCCTTGCCGGAGACCTCGCCCACACTGCGTTGGACGGGGAAGGTTGGGGTTCTCGTGCCTTTGTTCACGATGCGTCCGCGGACAAGCTCTCCGCCCGCGCCATTCTCTGCGTCTTCCTTGGCTTTGTCCCTGACGCGCCTAACTGGCAGTTTTACCACCCCACCTCGCGCCGTGTCCTCCCGTCTTAGGACGTCACGTTCGACGAGTCGGTTCCCTTCTACCATCTCTTCCCCTACCGCTCTGCCCCTCCCCTGCCCCCGCCGCTCTTCCTTGCTCCCGGTCCACCTCCGGTAGACCCCCTCCCACCCCAGGGTCCTGCTCCCTTGGGTGTGTCTCAGGTAGACCCTCTCCCTGGTACTGCGCCTGTTCAGGTAGCTGTCAGCTCAGGTGCTGCTCCAGGTGCTGCGTCTGGGGCACTGCGTCTGGGGGTGCTGAGCCTGGGGGTGCTGAGCCTGATGGCGTTGAGCCTGGGGGTGCTGAGTCGGAGGGTGCGGAGTCTGGGGGTGCTGCACCTCGGGGTGCTGCTTCGTCTGGAGGTCCTGCTGGTGCTTCACCGCGACTGTCCTCGTAGCAGCTGCGTGAGTGGCTTGTTCGGCGCGCACACCGTCGGAGTGGAGCTCCCGGAACTAGAGGCGCTGGAGACACTGGAGCTGGAGGTGCTGCTGTTACTACAGGAGCTGGCAGTACTGGAGGTACTACGGCTACTGGTCCTGGAGGTGCTCGTACCAGTGGTGCTGGAGCTGCCGGGACTGATGGTGTTAGGTGCGCTGGAGCTGGAGACCCTACGGAGCCTGGAGCAGTTGGCGCTGGAGGCGCTGGAGCTGCAGGAGCTGGAGTTGGAGGCACTGGCGCCGGAGGTGCTGGAGCTGTAGGAGCTGGAGCTATTGACCCTGGCGCTGGAGATGGTGGAGGCACAGTGCGGCCGCGACCGTACTTCGTTCCCCTGCTTCAGCAGGTTCTTGGTGTCCCGTGTTCTCCTGGTCTTCCTCCTCCCTTCCTGTGTCCACCGCCTGACCAGTCGCAGCCGCCGTTACAGCCAGCCTCCCCACTGCCTGCTCCCTCTCCATACACTGAGCAGTTTGGTGGTCTTACAGAGCGTCGTGAGCCTGCGTCTTGTCCAGTCTCGCCTGTTCGCATTGCTCGTCGCGCTCCTCATTTGCGTCCTCCTCCTGTCCCCGGCACGCACGCTATAGCACTCCGTCCTTCCTCTCTTCCACTACGTGTTCCTCTGCCTGCTCCTCCTGAGTCCTCTCTTCCTGAGGTCCTTGACCCTGCGTCTGACCAAGCTCGTGCTGCTAGTCCCACTGTCTCTCGTCTCCTCGTCACTGTTGTCACTGACCCTTCCTTTGAGTCTGCTGCTGCGTCTGCTCTCGTTGCTCAGCTGCTTGACTTTGCTGCTGCCTGCGGTCTCGACTACGCCACTGGTCTAGTTGCTGAGTCTGCGTCTGCCAGTCCTCCGTCCGTCGGGGGTGAGTGTGCTCTTGGCACGGACGTCCTTGAGGACAGGCAGGAGGACTTTGAGTGTCTTGCAGCTGCTGTACCTCGTTTCGCTTCCGTGCTGCTTGCCCCTCAGGGAGACCCGAATGCTCCAGACATCCCGACCCCGCGCTCTTACGCAGAGGCGATTACGGGTCCTTACTCCTCTAAGTGGCAGGCAGCTATGGATGCCGAGATGGCATCCTGGAAGTCCACAGGCACCTACGTCGATGAAGTTCCCCCGTCTCGGGCGAACATAGTCGATGGCATGTGGATTTTCAGGGAGAAGCGGCCGCCGGGTTCTCCGCCTGCCTTCAAGGCGCGTTACGTTGCTCGAGGCTTCGGTCAGCGACAGGGAGTTGACTACTTCCAGACCTTCTCCCCCACCCCAAAGATGACTACTCTTCGGGTGTTGCTGCACGTCGCTGCTCAGCGTGACTACGAATTGCACTCTCCAGACTTCAGCACAGCTTTCCTGCAGGGCAGCCTGCACGAGGACATCTGGCTGCGCCGACCACTGGGACGTTTCCTGCAGGTACCCAGTGGAGCCTCCACCGGCCAGTCTACGGTCTCCGCCAGGCGCCTCGCGAGTGGCACGACACACTGAGGACTACATTTGCGGCTCTTGGGTTTGCTCCTTCTACTGCGGACCCATCGCTGTTTCTACGCACCGACACCTCGCTGCCGCCGTTCTACGTCCTCATGTACGTCGACAACCTCGTCATTGCCACTTCTGACACTGAGGCACTGACCCTTGTGAAGTGCGAGCTACAGAAGAGACACACCTGCACTGACCTGGGTGAACTGCGCAGCTATCTTGGCCTGCAGATCACCAGGGACAGAGCACGGCGCACCATCACATTTACTCAGTCACACATGGTGCACCAGGTCCTTCAGCGCTTCGGCTTCCAGTTCTCCTCGCCACAGCCCACTCCTCTGTCTACCAGCCACTCGCTCTCAGCTCCACCTTCGTACGAGTCCGTAGAGCCGAGTGGTCCGTACCCAGAGCTTGTGGGTTGCCTCATGTACCTGATGACGTGCACACGACCTGACCTCGCGTACCCTCTCAGCCTTCTGGCTCGCTACGTTGCTCCCGGTAGGCACCGAAAGGTGCACTGGGATGCTGCGAAGAGGGTACTGCGTTACCTGTGTAGTACGTCGGGCATGGGGCTTGTGCTTGGAGGACACGGTCTAATTGTTCTCACTGGTCACGCAGACGCCTCCTGGGTTGACGACTCAGCTACGCAGCGGTCGTCACAGGGTTACACCTTCAGCCTTGGTTCCGGCTCTGTTTCTTGGCGGTCTACCCGCTCGTCTTCGGTTCTCAGCTCAAGTTGTGAGGCTGAGATCTACGCTGGGGCCATGGCTGCTCAGGAGCTACGCTGGCTCACCTACCTGCTGACCGACTTGGGAGAGCAGCCTCGTTTGCCTCCAGTTCTATATGTAGACAACAAGGCCATGATTGCCTTCTGTTAGGAGCACAGACTGGAGCACAGAACGAAGCACATCGCTCTGCGATACTTCCTTGCTCGAGAGTTGCAGCAGCGTGGCCAGCTTTGTCTTGCGTACGTGGCCACTCTAGCCAACACTGCTGATGTCTTCACCAAGGCACTTCCGCCTAGTGATCATCAGCGCTTTGCTACTGTGTTAGGCCTTGTGCCTACTTTGCCTCACTTGCTTACTGCTTGACTCTGCTTGTATTGTGATCTATATATACACCTGCATGCTTGCACTTGCTAGGGTATGATCACTGTATTGTTTGTTCTCTTTATATAACTCTGCATGAGAACTGGCCTTGTGGCCCTTTTGCTTGTGCTCGGACTGTAGTGGGATAGCCCATAAGGGGTACAACCCAATTAGGGTTAGTACTTATACCCAACTCTTTGCTAGTTCATTCATTCTCATTCACATAATTCTAACATGTGTTTTTTAATGTTGTGTTGCTCAGGTGTCCCATCCTTGCGTGCCAGATTTATTCGCTAGCGCGATGTCCAGGTGATCGCTGTTGGTGCAACCCTATGGTTTGCATTCGGCTTGTTGTCCGTGTGCGTGCATGCGTGTGTGCATGGAATGGTATGAGGGCATGAAATAATATATATTTCATGCTTACAATAGTGTGTGAATGATGAGGCATGATTTTGAATGTGTGTGTCGAGTCAATAGCGAGTTATCGCTAGTCGCGTGTGACGTCGTTGTTTGCGTGTCGTGTGCGGTTTTCTATTTTGTCGTGTGTGGAACGTTCGGCGTGTTGCAGGTGTGCGCAGCAAACTTCCAAGAACTCAAGGAAGAATTTATCTTGAAGAACCAGAGCCTTGGTTTCAAGATTCAAGAGATTTCGAAGCTCTCAAAAAGGGTAAAGTTTAAGATAGTGAGAATAGTTGCATTATTTTGTGTAGTGTAACATTTGTCTTGGTGTAGGCCCTTGTGGAGGGTAGTTTCGAGACCCTTCGTGGTTGGGGACAGTTTGGCACTGTTCCACATCACTGTACCTCGGCTCTTGGGGTTTGTAGGAGCTGGGAGTCATTCCCAACTCGTAACTCTTCCTATCTTGTGTTCTAAGACTATAGTGGCTGCCATAGTGCCGTTCATTCAAACCGACGTTGCATCGTCAATACTTAATGAAATCGTGCAATCTAAATTGCCAAGTGTAGGCGACGTCAAGAAGCTCCAGATCCAATTTGAATCAAGTAATTTGTAGCTGTGAGCAGAACGCTATCAACGTTTGAAGCCGCTGTGCAGAAATCCGTCTGTGCACTCTATCTTTCGTTTTAGGCACATTCAAGCTTATTGTGACTATAACAAATGGTATCAGAGCCCCTTGGAGCAGTTTTGACAATGGCTGGACCTGTGGAAAGGGGTGGCAGAGGTGCTGGTGGCGGTGGAGAAGCCCAAGCTCAAGGCCAACCCCGTGATTCAGCCATGGCGCCCGTGCAACCAAGTTTTGGCCCACCTAGGGATGAGCCTAGGGTGTTTGGGCTTGACAAGTTCAATGGCGACAACTTCGCTGAATCGTCCTTCAGAATGGAGAATGTATTTGACCACTATGACCTGCTGGAGGTGATGGAAGGAACAGAGAAGCGCCCCGAGAACGACCCGGAGAAGAGCCCGTGGGTGCGGAAGAGCGCACAAGGCTATCTCCTACTTGGGCAAGCGTTGGGGAGCAGCCAGATCCGTCACATCAAGCCATTCCAGCGTGAACCAGAGAAGGGACCAAAGGCATGGGCTGCTCTCAAGGGTGTACACACTCCTGCAACAGCGGGGGTAGCGGTGGTGTTGGAACGGCAAATGGCGGCACTACGAATTGAAGAAGACGAAGCGGTTGAAGAAGGGGTGCAGAAATTCTTCGACTTGTTGACGCGGCTTGAGGGAGCTGATTTGAACTACAGTGAGCTCCAAAAGAAGACTAAGTTGCTGGCCTTACTCCCAGAGTCATGGTCCTCGCTCATCATCAACCTCAATCGTGACTTGCCCCGCCTCTCGCTTGAAGACGTGAAGCGAGCGATCCTTCAAGAGGACTTCCGCCGCCGTGAGTTGGCTAGTGCGGATGGCGCCGGGGCAGTAAGCATCGGCCGAGGGTATGGCCGTGGAAGGGGCAGAGGACGAGGGGGAGGCAGATTTGGCAGCAACAACTTCAATGGAGGCCGCGGGAGTGGCGGATACGGTAGCGACAACAAGAGCTACGGACGCGGTCGCGGACGATTCGACGGCGAGTGCCACTATTCTCACAAGAGCGGACATATGTGGCGCGATTGCTTAAAGCTCCCTGATGGATGGACTCCTGCTCAAGGCCAAGAGGGTAGAGGAGCAGGAGGAGGGAGAGGAAGAGGCCGTGGAGGTCGTGGCGGTCGCGGAGGTGGTGCTGCAAA